GACGCTTTACCATCTGAGCCATCAGGGAAACCACCATATTTACAATATAAACAATTATTTTCTTTGGTTCATAGTAAATACACATTCAGTGAACATGATTTGTTCCAAGCACCATATGTACATTATACTGTTGCTTCTGATTTCCTCCTACAGAAAAGAGCAATCTACCGTAGCTACTAAAGAAACCTCAAAATAAAAGTACTATTAAATTTAAGTTTAAACACCAGGTTCTGTCTCTAAGAGTTTTTCTAAAATAGCAACCACTCTAAAGAAGTAAGAATTGTTACCATCAAACTTAATGAAAAAGCATTGCTTCTGATTTTAGGAGAAATAAATAGTAAAAGAAGAGCACATTAATAAGAACTGTGGAAGAAAAACAGCTTTCAGTTACACTTTTATTTTTAATAATACATACAAATACACTATCAAGTATCATACACACAGCCTGGATTTAGCAGCCTTCTATAATACAACTGTGTGGTGTGGGAGACTTTGTCCTTCACTGTTCCTCAAGCACTCACAGGGATTTCTTGGGTCACAGAAAAGTGATGGGGACAGGAAGAGGTTTGAGGTTTTTGTCTGTGGTTTTTTCTTTGTGGGTTTTTGTGGTTTGGTTCTTTCATTTTTTGTTTTGTTTTTTGTCTTGTCTGTGTTTTAGGTTTGTTTATTTGTGGGGGGTTGTGTTTGTGTATTTTTGGGGAAAAGAGGTTTTTTGTTTTTTTTTTTAGTTTGGCAGTTTTGTTTGCTTTGGGGCTTGCTTTTAAATAGAGTTAATTAGCAAAAGAAGATAAACAAGTACCAAATCCCTACCACACGCAAGGCATTGTTCTGAATATCTACCTACGTTCTCTCTTACTTACTAGTAATTCTTTGAGGTGGATATCACTGTCCCATTACGTATATGAGAACACTGAAATGTAGTAACAGTTAAGATGTGTCAAAAACTCAACTAGTAAGTAGCAGAGCCAAAACCTGGAGATATGAACCTACACCTGTATCCATACTTGCGCTTTCAAAGACCTCTCTTCCTTACCATTTTCAAGAAAAGATCTGAAACAGAAAACTTGACGAGACTACCACTAAACGATGAGGTTGAGAGATAACATGTGAGGGGTGAGAGAGGTCCAAAGCGGGGATGCATGTGCTCACAGCTAACTCACAGCACTGGACAGCAGAGACCAACACAACACTGTAAAATGGGTATCCTCCAATTAAACATAAATGTTTAAAAGGATATATCCAAAACTCAACTGTGTTTCTACTATACACTAGCAATGAACTAGTGATGAACAATGACGTGAAATGAAATGTTGAGGGCTTCCCTGGTGGCTCAGTGGTAAAGCATCTGCCTGCCAAAGCAGGGGACACAGGTTCCATCCCCAGTCGGGAAAGATTCCACATACTGATGAACAACTAAGCCCATGTGCCACAACTACTGAGCCTGTGCTCTGCAACAAAAAAGCCATGCAATGAGGAGCCCACGAATTGCAACTAGAGAAAGCCCATGCAGCAAGGAATACCCAGCACAGCCGATAATAAATAAAACTATTTAAAAAGAAAAAGAAGAAAGAAATGTTGAAAACAGTTCCATGTACAACAGCAACTAATACAATAACATAAACACTCAGGAATAAATTTTTAGAAGAAGTTTAAGACTTGGGCCTGAAAACTACAAAACATTATTGAAAGAACAGATTAAACACAATCTCTATAAAAACTCCTGCTACTCTTGGGCAGAAATTGACAAGTTGATCCTAAAATCCATATGCAAGGGACCCAGAAAAAGTCAAAAAGTCTTTTAAAAGAATGAAGTTACAAGACTTACACTTAGTTTCAAAACCTATTACAAGCTTATTATCAATACAAATCTACTGTAACCAAATAGCATAGTACTGGCATAATAGAATAAAATTGAGAATCCAGAAATAAAATCCAACATATAGTCAGCTGATTTTCAATAAGGGTGCAAAGAACATTCAATGGAACAAGAAGAGTCTTTTCAAAACATAGTGCTGGGACAACTGGATCACCATATGCAAAAGAATGAATTTGGGCCACTGCTTTACACCATATACAAAAATCAATTCAGAATGGATTGACAACCTAAATACAAGTGCTAAAACATAAAACTCTTAGAAGAAAGCATAGGGGTAAACCTTGAATTTGACAATGAATTCTTAGATATGACAACAAAAGCATGAGCAACAAAAGCAAAAATAGATAATTTGGACTTCATCACAAAACTTTGCAAAAAGGGACATTGTCAAAAAACTGAAAACACAACCTACAGAATGGGAGAAAACATTTGCAAATCATATATGTGACTTAGTAACCAAAAATTTTTAAACTCCAACAACTCAATAATAAAAAGACAAATAGGAATATTTAAAACTCCTGCAACTCAATAATAAAAAAGACAAATAACCCAATGAAAAACTGGACACCTGAAATGGACAAAGGATTTGAACAGACATTTCTCCAAAAATATACAAATGGCCAGTAAGCTCACGCACGCGTGCACACACAGACACACACACCCAATATCATGTCATCAAGGAAATGCAAATCAAAATTGTAATGAGATACCACTTAACACCGACTAAGATGGCTAAGTTAAAAAGACAAACCATAATAAGTACTGGCAAGATTGTAAAACTCTCATACACTGCTGGTGGGAACGCAAAACGATGAAACCCCTTAGGAAACAGATTTTCAGCTGTTCAAAACATTAATGCAGAGTTACCATATAACCCAGGAAATGGGGTATGCCCAAGAAAAATCAAAACATTACATCCTCACTAAAACTCGTACAAAAATGTTCATAGCAGTATTATTTATTATAACCAAACGTGTGGGGGGGGGGGAAATCTCATGTCTATCAATACATCAAAAGATAAAATGTGGTATATCTGTTCAATATTACTCAGCAATAAATGATACACATGCAACATGGATAAACCTCAAAAACACTGTGCTAAAGGAAAGAAACCAGTCACAAAAGACTATGTATTGTAAGATAATTCCAACTCAAAAAAGCTGGGTTTTTTTTAAGATACTTTAAAAAAAAAGTCATGGGAACGTTATGTACAGCATGGAGACTATAGTTAATAACTCTGTATTGCATAATTGACAGTTGTTAAAAGACCAGATCTTGAAACCTCTTATCACAAGAAAAAAATTGTAATGATATAACTTAATGTGATCACTTTGCAACATATAAATTTCAAATCATGTTATACACCTGTAACTAATCAAGCCATTATATTGTACACCTGTAACTAATATTACATGTCAATTATATCTCAAAAGAAGGAATTCCTTAAGACATTGCATGAACTACAAAAATGAAACAGTGGGAGAAAAAGAGCACCTAATTTTCAATTTTTCTTCTTCAGATGCCATCTCAATTCCTAAAATTTTGTCTTCCTATACATTCATATTTCATCCATCAACAAGAACTACTAAAATTAAATCAACTACTGAAATTCAAAACACATGAAAAAAACAGTCCCAGAAATATCAAATAACTTTCAAACCTATTTCAGCATTGATTCTGAACTAAACATAAATCTCAATTTCACAATATCACATAAAGATTAACAAATACTCAGAGGTTTAAGCAAATTGCCAACTTTCTGAATAAACAGTAATTCAGATTTGCTTTGATGAAAATGTAAATATTTACCTGCCTCAAAAGAACAAAATCCTATAAGCCTAGCGTTCCCAAATGATGAAGAGGAAAAAAATGTATTTTTTTATTCAGAATTCAGTTTCAGAAATTAATTTCAATCTAGCTAGGGTATACATAGTTGATGGCTTATACTAAGCATGTACATACCCTGCTTTTGCCTAAAATATACTGAAAACAAGGAATTTACAGTCATAAAAATTAAGTTGGGACCTGAGGAAAATCACATACAGTATATCTGACAGAGATCTTAACATCAAAAAGCTCCTGAAAATACCTCAAGAACTCCTATTTTGGAAGCTCCCTAAGTCAGTCTTGCTGCAAATATTTACTGACCATCTACCATGAGCCAAGCACCGCGAGTGATACCAGGATGCCATGGTGAGCTCTGAACCATAGTAACCTAAGAGTTTGTTAAAAATTCAAATGTGCTTCTCTGCCTTGGAGCGCCTGGGCCTGGGTTGAGTCGTGACGCCTGTATTTTTATCAAGCGCTCCAGTTTATTCCCAAACCCTGGCTGTCTGCGGGCAGGGTGCTCGGGGGCATCCCATCCCACCCAGTGGGAGCCACACCTCTATTTCACTCGGTTTCAGTCCATTTCACTCAGCTTCCTGCACTCAGACGGATAAATACCCCAACTACACCACCAGCTGAGATAAATGTAAAGCATTCCAAAATCCCCTCTGTGGTAACACTCTGACAGACTTGCTTCTTTCCGAGGACGGACAGCTCACTCCCTCAGATTCTACCTGGGGCTGTCTGCACCTGAGTATCCCGGAGCTGCACCGACACCTGTCTCCCAGAGGCTGCGGTCTCCTTTTCCCATGGGCCCGGGCCGCGGGCAGTCGCCGCCTTGAGGGGCCGGAGGCAAGGAGTGGCACCGCGCGCATTAGGCGCCGACTGTATACCGCTCCCCTCCCCGCTGGCGCGCACACACAAACACTCCCGCGGAAACTGAGGTGGGCACGCGACAGACCCGGTCCTGACGCCGAGCGACTCAAGGCAGGGCTCGAACCCGGAGGGCCGGGCGGGTTCCGCCTCGCGGGCGCTCGTCAGACTCAGAGGCCCGGCCCGGCTCGCACCGACGGAGTTTCACAAAGAAAGTCTCCCGGCCCGCGCCCCTCACACACTCACCGGAGCCGGCGCCGGCGGCGATTCGGGCTCCCGCCTTCTACGACTCCGTGCTGGGGTCGACCCCGGGGTGGGCTCAGGCGCGGGAGGCGGCGACTGCTCCATCCCCGCGAGGCACGGGCCGCGTCCGCCTCGAGCTAACGGTCCAGCCAGCTAGGCGCGCGCGCCGGCCCCGCGCGCCATGTTCCCGCCGTGCCGCGCGCCGCCGCGCACTGCCCCCGCGCCGCGCACGCGCGTACTCGCCGCGCACGCTCCCCGCGCGCCTCCGCGCGTGCCCCCGACCGCGCACGCGCGCACTCGCCGCGCCCCCGCCCCCAAGCCTGACGCCCTCCGGCCCCGGCCCCGCTCTTCCCAGCTTCGCGCCCACCCCCTCCGCACCCGTCAGGCCAGGCCCAAGCGCTCGCTGTTCTGGGCTGGGCGCAGCCGCCTGCCGCACTGCGGACGACGCCAGACCAGGCCCCTCGTAACATTACCCCTTTTAAAAACTTCAACTGCTTGGACTTGAAGCGGTGGTCTACCCCAAGAGGGAATTACCCCCAAGAAGTGTGAGGGGAAGGACACCGCTAAGGTGATGAGAGCCCCATTGCGGTGGTCTGTGAGCACGTGCATGAGCCTAAGCGGCAGAATTGGATGTCTGTGTCACTGGAAAAGCCACACTCAATGAAGAAACTGAATTCGCATCCCGCATCTCCACTATCTTTGCCTGATTAAGGTCAGGTCTCCAGAAGCCTATTTTTCCTTTATGGGGAAAGTCTAACAACTAAGACAAGTCAGAGGACTTGAAGTAATCCAGATAAAATATCAATACCGCACCTAGTACTTTTACCAAGTAGTAAACTGGTGACAAAAACCTCTTAAGTAATTTTATGATCAAAAACCAAGGTCTCTTGAAAAGGGAAATTTCCGTTCAAGCCTTGCCTCCACTTCTTGCCAACTGGGAAATCTCTAAACCCATAAAGAGAGGAGGGGCAGCAAGGCCTCACAGGGTTGAGGTGAGCTTTCTGAGGAGGCACTCATGTCTCTGAGCACAATGCCTGGCACACAGCAAGCTCTCCAAGCTTCAATGGTATAATTCCAGCCCTGTCCTCCTAAGACTCCTAAAAGTTTAATGAAGGGGGCTCTGCTCCCAAACCCTGTGGTATAATTAGCTGGGAGGGGGTTCTCTCAACCTTGAGGCTGGAGAGACTCTTAGTTCCCACATCTTCACTTTCCATTCTTTGCCCCAAACCTCTCTGAAAACCCTGAAGCTGGCACAAAAACAACAGCAGTTGTTTAGTTTTCCCTACTTAAAAAGAAGTGTGTCCAAGGATCTCTTAGAATTTGCAAATGGTTGGATTTATTAGTCTGGCCTTTTCTAGACACAAGTGACCAAACAATGAAAAAAAATTAAAATAATTTGTTTCTTAATAAAAAAAAAAAAACCTCAATCTGAAGTAAATCAACTAAGGGAACAAATCAAAGTCCCAGGTGGTACCTCACTGAAGGGATAGTTGGATCCAGGTGCTCAAACAATAAGCTCAGTCATTCTACATCTCAGCTCTGCTTCTGTCTGTGATGACTTCATTCTCATGCAGTTCTCCCCAGTGTCCTGGGCACCTCCCAGCTCACACCTCTACTATGGTAGGGTGAATAATGGCCTCTAAAGGTGTTCTCATCCTAACTTCCCATAATTTGTGAATATGTGACTTTACATATTCACAGCAGGAACTGTTCCAGCCAAAGGCTTGGGTTTTCTTTCTTTAGGGCCCCACGGGTCATGTGCATCTGCCTGAGCCTATCACAGCAAAACTGGCCAAAACGGACCACATGGAGCCCCTCTGGGAAGGGAGTGAGGTCAGCCCTGCCAGGACATGGGTGGGTGGGGCAAGTGGAAAAAGGGACTCCCCTTACGCCTTCTAACTGCTCCTACTAATGTTGCCATCCTAGCTCCATTTGCTAATGTTTCAGTCCTGTGCCCACCTCCAGCTGGGTGGTCAGTGGGAGAAGCTCTACCAGGGGAGAGGCCCCTAGGGACCCCTTTGGCTTCTTAGGTACCATCTCCCCCTCCCGCTATGAACTCATGGGATAGGGGAAAAGAATTCCCCCCCTAATGAAAAGTGGCATATGAGGTTAAGAAGTGGAAGTGGATGCTTGGCATCCCCAGATCAGCTGTCGATGTCTCATTAGTGAGTACATGTTTCCTCTGGCTGCTGTAACAAATTACCACAATCTGGGTGGCTTAAAACAACACACATTTATTCTGTCAAGTCTGGAGTGCAAAAGTCTAAAATCAGTTTCATGTGACTAAAGTCAAGGTGTAAAGTAAAAGGAGTAGCTCCTTCAGGGGGCTCTGAGAGGAGAATCCATTTCTTTGCTTTTGGTCAGCTGCTAGTGACTGCCTGTAATCCATGGCTTGTGGCCTCTTCCTCTGTTTCCAAAGAATACGACTCCCTCTCTTCTGACTCTCCCTGTGTCCCTCTTAAAAGGAACACTGTGATGACACAGGCCCACTTTGATAAAACAGGCCCACTTTGATAAAACAGGATATATCTTCCCATCTCAAGATCCTTCATTTAATCACACCTGCAAAGTCTCTTCTGCCATGAAAAAGGAACATATTCATAAATTCTGGAGATTAGGATAAGAATATCTCTGGAGGCCATTATTCATGGTAGGTGTAATCAGAGAGTGCACTGAAAACAGAGACGGGCTGGTTGACTACCCCAAGAGGGAAAGATGCCCCAAGAAACCACAGCCTTCACATTAAGTATTCAAATGAGCTGAAACCCATCTAACTTGGCAATCTCCGCCTCATTCCTTTAAATATGCAAACCACCTAAATCCCCATCTAGCCCTCAGCAACAGGCCAGCCAAGCCTCAGAATGCCTACACACCCTTTTAATTTCCATTGCCAACCACCATCCTCACTGCCTGGGGCAACAGCTGTGTGCCTCTCGCCCTCCCCTGGCTGGCTCAGCAGCGGCATCCGAACCAAGGCACTCAACTCATGGCATGGTCATCAAACTACAATGTGGCCTAGCATCAATCAGCCGAAGTGACTAGAGAAGCAAATTCAGTGGGTCAGAAAGAGACAAGAGGAGCCAGCCATTAGAACTGCCCGGGCTCCTGATGGCCTCCCAGACCCAGCCCTCTGTAAGGCCAAAACAAATCTCCTTTTCCATGAAGTAATTTGAATGGGCCTCTGTTCCTTGTCCCCAAGATGTCCCAAGTTCCACAGATTATGGGGTTGTATCCATCCATCATGATTGAATATACCAGTATTCAAGACTTAGACATCAATCTCACATGAGTTTTGTCTGTGAGTCTACATCCCTGAGTCTGGATAGAATAGGGAACATGAATTGGAGTCAGGAAGCCCTGGGCTGGGTCCCAGCTCTGCCACTTCCTAGCTGTGTGACATTGAGTAAGTCACCTCACTTCTTCGGTCTGGGTTCCCCACTTATAACATGATGGTAATCAGAGGACCCAGCACACTGAATCACTAGACAAGACCAACCAAGGCAGGCACTTTACACAGGGTCTTCTTGGTCATCATTGGATCAATATGACAAGCCCACATGCCTTATACACATTTCAAACACAGTCAGTGTTTCTGGTCTTTTTCCTATAATCAGGAAGTTTTTGATTTCCACAACTTATCTGGGTCTGTGGTTTTAGGGACCATGAGAGTGAGAATGGGACTCTAAAACCATGGGCTAATTCCCTGTTGGTCCAGAGGTTAGGACGCCATGATTCAAGTGCAGGGGGGCACAGGTTTGACCCCTATTTGGGGAACTAAGATCCCAAAAGCTGTGCAGCCAAAAAAATAAAAATTGAATTTAAAAAATTAAAATAAAAAACACAAAAGTGGGCCATGGTATGTGCACCAAAGTACCAACTGTCTGGTAAAGACTCTGGCAACCAGCCAGTTTCAACAAACCCCACCCTGACTTGCTGTGCCCCACCCCCTGCAACTTTCTAAGGGGTCTTTAGAATTTGTATGCAGCTCACCCAGGGACGTATCCTAAGAAACATGTCTAGTTACAGCCTAAATAGAAGCACCAGAAGCACATGTATCAAATACATACACACTAAAGTCATGTAGCTAAGAGCTGATCAACACGCAGAAAGCACAAAGCTCGGGTTCCATCACATTTTGAATTGTGTATCAATGGTTGTGGAAAAGCAGCTGTTCCCATAATGAAAATACAAACTATACAAAACACGTTTAAAGAAAATGGCAGCAGAAGGGTTCAAGAAGGTACACTTCTTTCGTGGTCCACCAGTGTTCACGAGACAGCCGCGCACACAGCCAGGCGCTTCGTGGGGTCGGCATTCTCTGCTTCCCCTTCGCGAAGCCGCTTTCGACTTGTGGAAGGCTGCAAGTAATGGAAAGGGGAGAGATGTTCAAAGAAAACCTCCGGCTTCGTCACAATTATCAGTTTCCCAATATGCTTCCAGTAATCTTGGAGCACTTCATGTGAACCTTCTAGGACCAAGAATGCTGGTTGTCCTCATTGGCTCTGAACCCCTACCACACCCCTCCCCGTCTCACACACATTTATTGGACTGACATTTCTCTCCCCTGGGGCCTACAACCACTCAATGATGCCTATTGAAAGTAAGCTGCAGAGACTTCCCCTGGTGGTCCGGTGGTGAAGCATCCGTGCTTCCACTGCAGAGGGCACAGGTTCAATCCCTGGTTGGAGAACTAAGATCCTACACGCCAAGTGGTGCAGTGAAAAAAAGAGAACAAGGAAGGAAACGAGCAGCATAACCAGCCTCCTCTTGGTTGTCTTCTCCTGACCCTTTTGTGTGTTTTCCCATTTACAGAATTGTGAGGGACCAATGGGAAAATGAATGTTACCGAAAGAAGGCAGGACAGAAATGAGCAGATATTAACATATACACAAAACATATACACAATATCACAAATATCATCTTTGTGATATTAACATATACACAAAGAACTTCAGAGGAATAAGATTATAATCAGTACGTCATCAGTCACTCCCCCAAATTTTTAAATTTTCGACAAATTTAAATCTGAGCCTCTCATACAGTCTTCTAATGTGGCTCAGTGGTAAAGAATCCACCAGCAATGCAGGAAACGCTGGTTGGATCCCTGGGTCGGGACGATCAACTGGAGGAGGAAATGGCAACCCACTCCAGTATTCTTACTGAAAAAATCCCATGGGCAGAGGAGTCTGGTGGGCTACAGTCCATAGGGTCACAAAGAATTGGACAAGACTTAGCAACTGAGCACACACACAATCTTGCCTTACAGTAGACTTATTGAATAATGACCCCCACCCTGTGCTTCTCTAATTTATAAAACAGATTCTTCATTATTAAATCTTCTAAAGGTATTGGAGCAGATCAAGCTGAAAGTTTCTACGACATTACTCCTTACAAAAAAATGTTAAGTAATTGCAGCTGAAAAGACTATTCAAGCTCTTCATCCTCCACTCATGGGCTCCTTAAACTTAGCCTACATTTAATGACCATCATCCAGAATACCTGGGC